ATTTTAATAAAAAATTAGCTCTTACACAATACCTTTGTTGTCTGTACAGAAAGTCAGCAGCAGAACAAACCACAGTTTCCATCGACCCATACTGGTCAAGACATCTAAACAACCGTTAACTGCTGCTTGAAGTGTACACTGTAGTCTACTGCAGGGTTAAAGATATACACACTGCTTTGCACACATACACCCAAACCTCAGATCACCAGCTGTCACAGAGGTGAGTCAAGGAAGGAAGTGCTGATATTTCTGCTTTTTATGTTCGAACTGGAAGAAAGAAGAAATGCAAAAAAAGAAAAGAAGACATACAAACATACAAATTTATTTGAATTTCTTTATTGTTACTTTCAACACTTCGTTTAATGAAATTCAAGAAGCAAAAAATTTGTTTTCAAAATAAGACCTAACATTAGTAAATGTAACAGTTACACATGATTGCTCCGTTACCTACGAACAAACACAACACAACATCAAACACACACCCAAAATACAAGTAAATATGTAGGCTACCCCACACCTTTGTGAGCAAGAAAGCTGTATGCACCTCACTGCACCATGCATATCTGCATTGTGAGCGTGTGTCTTTGCCAGAAAACAGTGTGGTATTAATCCACCCTTGTCATAAGTCAAACCAGTCAAACCAGGCACAAACACACTCTTTAAACTCATAGTTTAAATTATTTCACGTCCAAGAGGTGGGGGGAATGTCCTATTCTTTTTGTCAGACAGACAGACCACAGGTGGTGAGGATGGGAGGATGCATGTCTGCTGAGCTCACCGTCAGCACTGGATCTCCACAGGGCTAGGAAGTGTATTACCACCCTCTCTGTACAGTGTTTTTGTACATAGTAAATACTATGATTCTTCCATTCCTTGTTTTATTTCTTTTTCCTTTTTTTAGTTGCTTTGTCTTTATCTTTGAAAAGTGTAATTGACCTGGAGAGCTCTGCACAAGAATTCCAGTGTGCACAAACTGTTGGTCCTGTGCACAAATGGCAAATAAAAATCTTGAATCTTGAATATTCTAAACTGTCAGGGATGTAAGAGATGACATTTTTGTATTCAGCCTCATCAGTTTCCTCCAAGGTTTCTCTCTGGACTTCTAACTCAACCGGTGCTGGTGTGTTCTTAGGTGAGTGACTTTTAAGCTTATTTGCTTTAGATGGGGCAGCACAGCCGTACAATAGTTAGCACTGTTAACTGATAGCAAGGAGGTCCTGAGTAGTAATTGGTAGTTCTCAGTTGCCCAGTGGTGAATGTGAGTGTGTATGGTTGTCTGTTTCTATGTGTTGGCCCTGCGACAGGCTGGCTAGCCCTATGGTAGCTGGGTGCCCCCCCGGCAACCCTGACAAGGACAAGTGGAAGAGAACGGATGGATGCCTTCGACCTACTGACTACACCACATAAACTCTTTTCCCTCTCTGCAATAAGATCATACAATAGGGAGACCTGTTCCCAACAGAACAGGGTAGAGCAATTTGGGAGCTACACCTATTTTTAGCAGATAAACCTGATTATTGACCTCTATGTAAATCTCACCGTTCCTTTTCCTCAAACTTAAATTGATATTTGATGGTTTGTTAGATGTCAATCATAGTATGTTGTTAGTCTGAGAAGATGAACTGCTGAAAGAACCACTCCTTTTCCCATACTCCCTGGCTTACCCTTCACCTGGCACAGCGGTCCAGCGTGTTCCTGGGCCTTTCTGTGCCAAGACGTAGGTATCCACCAGTTTTCCTGACTTTGTTGCTGTGTCAGGGTCATGCTCCTTGACCCACATCTTCACTTCGCTCCAGCACAACAGCTACCATAATTTCCTCTTTTGTGGATGTACAGTAACCAACACATTTGCAGAACAAGTCCCTCAGATGGGTGTATATCTTTTGGGAGATTTTTTCGCTGGGGTGTCAAGGGACCTGGATCATCGTTATCAACAAATATCTCTACAGAGTTCATATTTATTC